TATATATATATATATATCTATTGAAGGGTAAGTTTTTCTCGGTCTTTTAATTTTCCAAGCAAAATGATAAGTCATGATTGATAACATCAAAATAACATTAAAATGATTTCTGAAAAATAGATTGGAAAGTAATTTTAATAATTATTTTGAAGCTATTTTGATACCGTTTTGATGACAGTCATGTTAGCCGTTTCTTCGATTTATTATCTCGAATTGAATCCATATCTTTACGACCGATAGATTTGATTGACAAATCTTATATGATACGCGTCATATAATAACTTATATAATAACGCAGTCATTTTTTTTCCGTGATAAAAGAATGGTCGTTGCTCTTTTATATAAAACTTATCATATTTTTTAAATCTAATCCACGATATATAATAATAATAACGTTCATGATAATCATTATAATCGTTTTTGCATAATATATGAAAAAACGTCGTTCATCGATAGTATAATGGAATTTTAAACATTTATGACGTTTTTTCCTCGTTATCGCGAGTTAAACAGAAGCAACCAATGAAGAGACGTAATCGCAAGACTCGTATTCTCGTTAAGGGCTACATTCCATTCTCTTCGGAGAAATTTTTACCTGAAGCTTAAACAGAGAACACAGAATTAAATCATAATAATATCATAAGAACATCATGAGCTTATTTGTCATTTATAAATTTATTTTTAAGTAGATGACATTATGATGACATCTTGTGATATCATGACTCAATTATGTGTACTACCTAAGAGAGGACGTTTTGGAATGTAGCCCAAGTAATGTTTAAATATTACAGTTCGCCTTATCCGCCACGAGCGATAATCGTTAATAACGTGCGTATGTATTTCGATCTCGTATGCGATGATGACAAATCCCGAGCGATTCGGGTTCCGGTAGAGACGTCGCGGAAGAGGCAATTTGTCACTGAGAGGCGCGATTCAAATAGAAACGTAAGTCATCGAAATAATATTAAAATAACTACAAAATTATCACTTAAATGTCACTTTTTAATCATTTACTATTCATTTTAACATTATTGTGTGACAATTGTTCTGCTTGAGGATTGTCGCCTCGACGGTGATTTTCGAAACGATCCCGCGCGTGTCCCAGCAAATGAGAGAATGGATTAAAATGAATTGAAATTTTTTTCTATCCGAATGCGTATTTTAAATAGAGAATACTTTTTTTGGGGTTTAATTGGATTCAATTGGATTCAATTAGATTCAATTGGATGCAATTGGATTGAAAAACTACATCTCCTACTCAAAATTTTGAATTGAACAGTATTCACAATGCACAGAAAAAATTAATATTATTTTTAGATTGAAAGGCATAGAGATGTGCTCCATGCAATTCCTAAAAATGAATAAAAATGCATTAAGGATTGAAAAGGATTTATTTTAATATTCGTGAATCAATATTTCTGAAAATCTGAATCCATTTCAATTCATTTCAATCCATTCTAGTTTGCTGGGGCGTTCCACGTGTATCTTCGTTGATGCTTAGCGTACGTTTGAGAAAAAAAAAAGGAAGAAAACGTCGGCGTCGCGCGGGGCGCGCGACGCTACGCAACGCGGCAGTGCGCGCCGCGATCCCGCGGCAGTCCACACCGTCCGTAGTAGATCCGGCGCTTTCCGGCCGGGCGGACTTTGAGAGTTGTTCGCGTATCGTTGCGTCGTCAGCAGGGAGCGGATGCGAGCGCATGCGCGCAATCGCGTCTTCCGTTTACGCGTCTGTTGCGCGCGAGAGAGCCGAATTGAGCGAGCGAATTGGAAGAGGCGATTTCGCGCGAAGGAAGCGACAGGAAGGAGCAGAAGGATATTGCGTGCCGAGAGAATAGTCAGCATGGCGAGCGCGCGCGCGCGCGTCCCGGACACAAACGCACAACAGGTGTCACCTGCGCCGGGCGCCGTCGCTGACTGATTGTGAGTGAAAACGCCAGAACGGTGCGCGTGGCACTTGGCAAGACGGACAGACGGATGGACGAAGAGGGCGCCGCGATCGATCCAATCAGGTTAAACCTCTCTCTCTCTCTCTCTCTCTCTCTCTCTCTCTCTCTCTCTCTCTCACTCAAGCTTTAATTTTGATTTATTTTTATTTTTATTTTATTTTATTTTTTTATTATTAAGAGGCTTTTAGAGGCCGTGCATTTCTTCGATATTATGTAATTTCGCATTATATGCGGCGTATGATATATCAGAGAGGATGAAGATAGATAGGGTGTCAGAAAGTATCGGATGATTTGTTCTCAGTATATTATATCCTTCGAGATTCTTAATAACAGTCAGTACTATTATAATGTTGCGCAAATATTAGACATGATAAAAACGCTGCAACAATATATGCATAACGTGATACCGCGAACTCAAGCAGAACAATAATAAGTCGCGACAATATCAATATAACATTAAAATGAATTGTAAATAATTAAATGAATTGAAAATAATTAAGTTACTTCAGTTACACATTTTGGAGTCATTTTGATGTCATGTTGGAAATTGTTAAAAGTAAAGTCTATGACACAATTAAAAAGCATAGAGGCATTGTAAAAGGAATAGAGAATAACAGATTTTCAAATGCACGGTTTCTGATTAATTAAAATCTATTATTCTTTGTTCCTATTGTTTTTGCTTTTGAATTGTGTATTAAGTTTTATAGAACCGGTGTAAAAAGATTTTTAAATTCCCAGGAAAATTTGAATTAAATAAGACTTTTCTGTCATTTGAATGAAAGAATGACCGGATACGTTTCGATTAAAATTATTTCATTCATTGAAAAGAAAATTGAGCGGTTTACTTACTAAAAAATAGATTTAAATTAATCGCAACACATTGAATTATTTAGCATTTTATTTCAGATTCGTTTTGAAATATCTCCCAGTTTGTCGAAAATGTCAACTGCTTTTGAAATTGTTCGTTTCATTTTAGTCACTATTTAGAGTTGTCTTCCGACGACAACTATTCACAGTAGTATTTAATCCTCTTTACATGATCAGGATTGTAACAATAGAGACACACAGCTGCGTTCATTGCATACTCGTTCTTCAATGATTTTTTTTAAATAAAACGAGCTGCTTTCTGTTCTCTGAATACGCCTTCGCAAGGGCGTTGCTTTATATCAGGAATTTATGTATCTTTGTTTCGTAAAAGCAACAAGAATCACATGACGATATCGCGAATTATCTTGATTAAGTTAGTAAATACTTTAATTAAATGGAATTTGATACTTAAAACTATTTTTATTATATAAAATTTCTAAACATATTTCAAGTATTTTATTTTCTTGTTTTTAAATACATATTTTTTTAGATAAAAGAATATTGTTAATATCTCAGCATTAATTTCTTTTAAAACATTTTTAATTTCTTTATTTTTTATCGTTAAAAGGTTCAAAAAAAAATTTTTGAAAAATATTCGAAAATATGCAATGTTCGAATGAGATTACTGATAAGTGTAGAAACAAAAAATCAGATGCCTGTGACGTGTTCAGATTACTGTCCACAAATTAGTGGGTAATTCATATAATTTTATACAACAAAATACAAGTAATATTTATTAACTTTTATCTGTACAATTGTTGGTGACATAAGTATAGTCAAAAACTAATGATGTCTTACCAATCGAAAAGAACGAACTAGTTTCTCGATTTGTTTTAAATTGTTAGTCAGACAGAGTAACAAGAGAATAAAAAAAAAAAAAAAGAGTTGTAACAATCTATTCACTTTTTCTTGCTCTTCTTATCTAAGTTAATAATTTCATTGCTCTTCTTATCTTGACAAAATTTAATCTCGAAAAACTTGGACCTGTATTTGATAAATTTCCTATTAAGATTGACTTAATGTATGTGTTTGCGAATAAAGCTGCCTTTATAATCGAAGGAACTCAGATGGTATTGATTTTCAAAATACTTTTTTTATCTATCACGTTCAGTACGAACGTTATGTGCACCTCTAATTTCAGTGCAGTTAAATATTACGTATTTACTGCGAAGAGTACGAAGCGTTACAAAACTTTCTAGATAAATTGCGAGTCGATTCGTATTTATATCTTGACTATTTTAGACGTTTTAATTTTAACTTGTTTAGATCACGCCCTCTCTGTTGCTACCTGTTTATACTCGCCAAAGAGAGATAAAGAGAGAGAGAGAGAGTAAAGAGAAAAATAGAGAGAGAGGGAGGGGAGAGGGGAAGGAGAGAGAGAGAGAGAGAGAGAGACAAATTTTATTTGTATAACGTTGCAATCGTTCTTATCGAAAGCTCAAATCGTTATCAATTGCAAAAATTATCTAAATGTAGATTCTATCGCGATTTGTGTCTTCTTCAAATTTTCCTTGCGTGGGATTGAATTAATCTGATACGCGCGCAATTGCGCACGATCGATCGATATTGCCGGATGTATACGCGCGCGCACAAGATCGATCGAGGCGTGTTTAAATCACGCTTCGATTTGCTGCTTCTCATCCCTTCCGCTCGTGGTGCTTGTTTTCTAATCTCACCGAAAGCGCGACGATTAAACGACGGGTCGCAGATAGCGCGGAGACGCGGTTGCGCCACGGTAATTCACATCAGGGATATATCCAAAATAGCCGGAACGGTAACCGGGACGGTAGCCGCGCCGATGAGAGAGAGCGTGCGGCGCGAAGTACGGCCCAACCCCCTGCGCGTGTGAAACGCCAAGAGCGCGTCAGTTGGGCGCGCGTTCGCGCCTAACTTCAGACGTAATCGTGGCGCGCGCCAGCGGGCGCTGTGATTCGCGATTCGCGTTGACGGACGGTTCCGGTCCTGAACGGTATCCGCGAGATATCCGCGCGACCTTTATATCGATCTTTATCGGCCTTGACAGTTGATGGTGCAGCGGGGCAAGTGGTGGGGACGATTCCGACCTTGACATGGAGGGCCACGATGTCCAGGAACTGGTGGCTGTCAAGGACAGCGTGATCGTCAGGGGCGGACATCCGCCGCTTTGTTCCCCTTCAAACGGTGGTGAGTATTTCCACAAATGGATCTGCGATGTAATGAACAGTCATCCATGGCGAACGATTCCCAAGCAGAACAAATCATAATAACTCTAAAATGATATTAAAATAAATCGTCACTGATTGAAAGGACGTGATTTTTTTAAATATAATTATATTTTGGAGAGCCATTTTGATATTATTTTGATGTCATTACTTTTTGTTTTGCTTGAGTTTAATTGCGATTTAGCTAACAGGGATGTTTGCAACTTTAGATATCTAAAAGTTTTTAAATAGTACATTTTATTTATCATCTCTGTGCTTATCGTCTACATAGAATATCCAAATGTATATACGCTCATGCAATTATTTTAAAAAACTATTTTTAAAAACCTATTTTAAAACTGATAATATTATTTACAGCGAATATATACAATAAGTTTCCTCATTGAACACTATCATTTGTCGTTTGTTTTGATTTTCTCAACACATTTAGTCTCGAAACGAGACGAGAACAGGGTCACCTGCATTTCATATTGGGGACGTGCCCAAAAATACAAATCTTGTCGATCAACTTCAAAACCGAGTATATACTCCAGCGAGTTTCGCGGCAATGATTTGGCAAACTCTTCGTATATCGTCTCGTTTCATTGCCGCAAATAGCTCATTGCGAAGGACAATCGCTCGGAGGGAAAAAAGAGGCCGGTACGCGCGCGTACAAAAATCGGGAAGCCAAGGAGGAGTACGTCTCGCCGTCTATTACGCAATCGTTGCATCGCAGTTGCAGACACGCACATTCTGTACCGACGATTGTGCATAAAAATTTGCGCGGGATGAACAAGCCGTGCTTGCAAGATAAGGTCGCGCCGGTCATGCTGCAGATAACCCAGGGACCTCGGCTGCGCAGTACCAAAATGGCGGCCAGTCTCGTAATCGATTGCGCTGCATGAATCGTCGACACCTTAAAAAAATGTTTAATGATCTGTTGACAAGTCTCGGAAAAGTTGATGCTAAATGAAACAAGCGGATATTAAAAGTTCGTGATTAACGATATGAAGACAGTACTTCAAAATGGCGGCTACTCCAATAATCGATTGTAACGCGTAAATTGTCAGCAACTTAAAAAAGGATCTTAACGATCTGTTTATAATCTTAGAAATGATGACGTTAAATGAAACGGACAAAGATTGATCATTAATAATGAAGATTATATTTTAAAATGGCGATCATCTTGATATAATCGATTATATCCGCGAGAATTTTATAAAAGCAAGAAAATTACTGACCGTCGATTAATAATAATGCCATATAATTTACTAGTAGGCAGTTTATATTTAAAAAACGTTTAACCAAACCGTTTTATATACTGTTTAAAAG